TTCAATCCACCTTTATCCTCTTTCATGATCGATCTGACACTTTCCCCAGTACGGATGTTAAGTCAATTGCTTATAGTTTCCTGTTTTCTTTCTCAATTATCTGTTGAATAGAGGGATTAACTTTGCTACATTCCATTCTGATTCAATCTTTGTAATTCTGAAATGTAATTATGTAATCAATGTATTTATGAAAAAAATCACCACAATTATTATTTCATTGGATTCCCGTTTGAAGTCGATTATGAGGTGAAAACTTCTCAGCTCACAGCTCCATCAGTTTACTCAATACAACTTCTGTAGTGCTGGTAATTTCCCACTGTTTTTTTCTCTCTCCCTGCACCGACTATTTTACAAGTATTACTGGAATTTTTAAAAATGTATTCTCTGTTTGAAGACCAAAGCCGAATATTTGTTCATTTCATCTGCTATTTCACTATTATCTACGGTTAGTTTCTTGTTCTCAGTATCTTGAGAACAGGGATTTATTCTACATACTGTACTCTATTTTAAAGACCAATATAAACTTATGCCATCTGCTTTGCATTTCTACTTATCATCCTCTAATACGGTCATTTGTTGCATCTAATTCATATTCTTTTTCATTCATTGATGTTCTTTAAGTGAAGGCCAAGCATCCAAAACTTGTGTAGCTTTTATTTTAAGTTTGATGCTTCATGTAACTTGTTTTGTTGACCATCGATGATAGGTTATCCCTTTCGATTTTGTTTCTTTATAGTGGCAATACACTTAGTCTGATTGTTCTAAAATATCCCCTTAACTGTTCATCCTCAAACCAGTATGTGACTTCACTTCAGCTAGCTCATAGCTTTCCTCACTGAAGCATATAATTATCATTTAGATCCAATCTTCTCCTTCTCAAGTGGATGTAAAATGCTATCATGTTGTAGTCGTTGCTATGTAGGGGGCATAGTTCGGAAGACATCATTAGTTCTTGTCGCTTTACATCACATCCGGTCAGATATGACCTACTCTGGTCGATTCGACAGCATAATACCCCTAGAAACCAGCGTGAAAGCCATCATGAGATCGTAGGAACTGCTGATGCTGGAGTCTGGGATAACAAAGTTCAAAATCTCCCACCCCCGACCTCATCCCAAGACCAGCCCATCTCGTCCCCGCCTCCTTGACCTGCCCGTTTTTTCTCCCACCTATCCACTCCTCCCACCTCACTGACCAACCCTCACCCCCTTCTTACCGAAGAGCTTCATCCCCACCTCCTTGACCTGTCCGTCTTCCCTCCCACCCACCCACCCCTCCCTCCCAACTGACCAACATCCATCCCAACTCCCTACCTACACTCAACTTAACTGGCTCCATCCCCATCTCCTTGACCTGTCCGTTTTCTCTCCAACTGTCTGCTCCTTTATCCACCTTCCATCATCGTCTCCCCTTCTCTCTATTTATCTCAGAGTCCCCTTCCGCTCCCCCATTTCTGAGGAAGGGTCCAGACCCAAAACGTCAGCCTGCTGTGTTCATCCAGCTCTACACCTTCTTATGAAAGCCATCCTGGTTATGACTATGAATTTGATTATTCAGATTAGCGCAGATTAAATTATTCCTGGATTACTTATATCCCTTTATCACAAGCATCCAATGTTCCATCATATATATTTTGACCCATATATCAATAATAATAACAAAATGACTTTCACTTCATACGTATTGGCTGTAATTAATTTCATGAGTCCTAAAAAAAAGTCTTACTTCTAGAATATTGCCAAGTACCCATTGAAAATCCAGTTTAAAAAGTTTAAATATTTAATGCAATAAGATAACTGAGATAATTCTATTGTATTTTAAGTTGCAAAATTTCATTTGTAAAACTGCTTTCAGATGACCAGTCTCGTTGTCTATCACGTGTACCATACATTGAATAAATTAAAACTGTTTTCTAAATTTGGATGTAGCCCGTATGACAATTTATTACTGTAGTATTCATTTATTTCTTGAATATTAAAACTGATTCTCTGCTGTTGTGCCTTAACTGTTGTATTTTGAGATAACAAAGAACAAAAGAACAAAAACGAAGTACAGCACAGGAAAAGTCCCTTCAGCATTTCAAGCCTGTCCTGATCATCATGCCCTAAGTAAAGTAAAAAACAAACCTTCTGCCCTCAATCTGTCCATTAACCCTCTATTCCCTCCTTATTCATGTAACCATCCAAATATCTGTTAAATGTCACCAATGTGCCTGTTTCCACATCCCTTCTGACATTCATTACAGTCTCTTACCACACTCTGCATGAACAAAAAACTCGCCTCTCATATATCTCTTAAAATTTTCCCCTCTTACCTTGAACCTGTGCCCCCGTGTAATTGAAACTTCAACTCTGGGAAAAAGCCTATGACTATCCATCCTGTCTAAGTCTCTCACAATTTTGTAGATCTCCGTGAGATTTCCTCTCAACTGCTGTCTTTCCAGTGGAAGAAGTCCCAGTCTTTTTAACCTTTCTTCATAACCTATGTTCCCGAGACCAGGCAATATCCTGGTGAACATTCTCTGCACTCTCTGCAAATCTTTCACGTCCTTCCGGTAGTGTGGCGACTAAAAGTGCGCACAATACTCCAAATGCAGCCTAACAATGTTCTTATATAGCGGCAACATAGTTGGCCAACTCTTGTCCTCCATGAAAACTGAAAGAACTGCGGATGCTGTAAATCAGGAACAAAAACAGAAGTTACTGGAAAAGCTCACCAGGTCTGGCAGCATCTGTGAAGAAAAAATCAAAGCTTAAGTTTCGGTACTGGTGACCCTTCCTCAGAACCGTTCTCAGGAAGGGTCACCGGACCCGAAATGTTATCTCTGATTTTTTCTTCACAGGTGCTACCAGAACTGCTGAGCTTTTCCAGCAATTTATGTTTTTGTTCTTGTACCTCCAGGACTCGGCCAATGAAGGCAAGCATTCAATATGCCTTCTTAAGCAACTTGGCCACCTGTGTTACCATTTTTAGCGAATGTGGAACTGCACACCCAGATCCACCTGTGTGTTAATGTTCCTAAGGGTTCTGCCATTTACAGTATAATTCGTACCTAAATTTGATCTACCAAAATGCATCACCTCACATTTGTCTGGATTAAACTCCACCTGTGCCCAATTGTTTGCACTATCGGTGACTCCACCAATCTTTGTGTTGTTAGCAAACTTCGTAATCAGCCCTCCCCAAATTTTCCTCCAGATCATTTATATATTCTACAAACAACAGAGGACCTACGACTGATCTCTGTAGAACACAACTAATTACTGGTCTCTGTTCTGAAAAACACCCTTCCACTGCTACCCTTTGTCTTCTATGATCTAGCAAGACCGCCCAGAATCCCATCTGATTTTAGTTTTTGTACCAATCTGCCTTGTGGGGCTTTAACAAATGTCTTACTAAAGTCCATATAAACTACAGCCACAGCCATTCCATCATTAATTATCTTCATCAACTCTTAAAAAAAAATCAATCAGGTTGGTGAGACATACTTGTCATTAACTCGTCTATTTTCTTCCAAATGTGCATGTGTCTTGTCCTTCAGTATCTTCTCTAAGAGCTTCCCCACCACAAATTCAGGTTCACTGGCCTTAAATTCCTGCATTATCCCTTCTTCATTTCTTAAACAAGGGAACAACATTGGCTACTCTCCAGTTCTCTCGAACTTTGCCTGCGTCAAAGAGGATGTGAAGATATCTGCTACTGCCCCAGCTATTTACTCTCTTGCCTCTTTCAGAAACCTGGGATAGATCTCATTTGGCTCTGTGGACATATCAACCTTAATACAATTTATGATACCCAAAACTTCCTATATATATTTCTATATAATTGACATTCTCTAGATCATTCATACACTCATCCCTGACCTCAACATCAGTCATATCCTTCTGCTTGATGAATACCGATAAAAAGTGCTCACTTACGATGTCTCCCACTTCTTGTCATGACACACATAACTGCCTATTCTTTCCCTTGCTACCCTCTTTCTACTAATGTATGCATGAAAAGCCTTGGGTTTCTCCTTGACCCTATTTGCTAAAGGCATTTTACCACTCTCTTTAGCCTTCCTAATTCTGCATTTGATTTCCTTTCTAATTTCTTTATATTCCTCAAGGGCTTTATAGTTTGTTGCTGCCTAGACCTATCGTATGCTTCATTTTTCCTTCTGCCTAAGAGGTCTGAATAATATAAATGTTTCGAACTCAATATGTCATCGTATGTGTTATGGTGATTTAATAAAATCTATAAATTCCAATTCCAATTCCAATTATCCGCCTTGATTTTAGATATGCAAATTGGGAGACAAATTGCAAATCCAGGAGAGAAGGACCAACAGATGCAGGGGCTTAAATTCCACCCGCACTAACTGAACTAAAATTCCATTCTCTGTTTTTGCTATCCAGGCCAAATTTTGCAGGTAACGGATTCGTACTGCATCTTTAGACCTCAGTTATATCTAAGGGAATGATCAGATGTGAATGGTCGTCCCACTTGCAGTCCTATCAAGTAGAGAAATGCTTTCACATATTTTTGCATGCAAACAGAAATCTGTTCACTGCTTGTGCATTTGAAAAGTTGTGATACTGATTCTCTATTTGACACGAAAAGAGATGAAACATGTGGTGTTTTAAAATAATGGATTGAAATAAAGCCTGTTTTCTTCTGCAACATCTGTGTGAAATGCTGATAGTAATTAAGTAGAAATAATGCACTGAGATCATGACAACGGAAAACCAAACAAGCCATTTACATGTGTCTAGAATAAACGTTAAACTTGACTTGACAATACAAAAACAGCAAATATTCACAGGCAAATGTATACCTTACCGTCGAGAATTTAATAACAATGAGTCGGTATGTTGACAGGAATTGAAAATAATGAATAAAACTGAAATTACTCAGTTAAGGTAATACAGTAAAAACTTGCATTCCAGAATTGTTCGAAATAATTATGTGCCTAAATTAATTCTGAAAATTAGCTTATTTTCTTAAAACCAACTCACCTCACTGTTTACACTGTTGTTGTGGTTTTGCCAGTTAATAATTTCCGAGTTTTCTTTTCTGATAGATTCACTCCGAATATAATCTTTGTCTGTAGATGACTTGCTTGTTTTCGAGTTTATGAAACCTCTCTTTGTTGACTGCAATGTTGAACATGACTCATAGCGGAAACGCTGAGAAAGTGGATCACCCCCAAATACCTCAACATAGTTTGAAGGTATTTGTAGGTTTCTACTTGCCTTTTGAATTCCATTCAGAGATTTCCTCGTGTCAATGCAACAACAGATCCCAAGGGAAAAGTGCTGACCACCTAAAGCTTTCCTGTTTTTATGGACTTTAATAGCAAGGACAATCAATATAGCCAGAAAAACAGTAGAAATTATCCCTAAAGATATTACCAAGGTAAAGCTCAAATCAGGAGTGGAAGCTGAAGCTTCGGACGAGCTGCTGACGCTGGAAAATGTTTCTATATCACTTCCTACCACAGATAAGATGATTGTCACTGAAGCAGAAAATGATGGTGTTCCAGCGTCTTTTACCACAATCACCAATCTTTGTTTAGAGGCATCTGTATTCACAATACGACGGGTAGTCCAAATTTCCCCAGTATTTGATGAAATAGTGAAAAGGTTATGCTGGGTAGCCTGAAAAATTGAATAAGCAAGGAGAGCATTCTGACCAGCATCGGCATCTGTGGCTGATACCTTGGCAACCAAGTATCCTGGTTCTGCAAATCTGGATATTGTCTCTACTGCTGTCGATCCAAACTCAGCTACTGGTTGAATGATGACAGGGGCATTGTCATTCTGATCCAGAATAATAACAGCTACTGAAACATTACTAGTCAGTGATGGAGATCCGGAATCTCTGACCTGAACTTGCATTTGAAACGTTTTCATTTGCTCGTAGTCAAAAGACGTCTGAGCAAATATGATACCACTGTCGGAACTAATGGAAACGTAAGTGGATACAGAAACATTCTGAACCCGAGTTTCTATGATGGAATATTTCAGAAGAGCGTTGTCTCCTACATCTGGATCGAAGGCTGACAATGAGAATATGGAGCTTCCAACACCGTTATTCTCCATAACGTTTGCAGTATAGAAACGTTGTGAGAACCGTGGCGCGTTGTCATTTATATCTGAAACATCTACTCGAATAGTTTTCTTCGTTGTGAGAGGTGGATTTCCTGCATCTGTGCAGCTTATTGTGATGTCATGTTTGGAAATATTTTCGCGATCCAATAAATCCTGAACAAGGAGTCTATAATAGTTTTTCAAGGCTGAATCTAATTTAAATGGCAATTTATTTGAAATTTGGCATTGTACCTGCCCATTTTGTCCTGAATCTTGATCTGCTGCACTGAATAGAGCGACCACAGTCCCAACTGGAATGTCTTCCGAAACTGTTCTAGACAATGACATCAACGACACCTCAGGGTGGTTATCATTCACATCAATAATAGTTACCAGCACATCACAGTGAGCGGGCACTCCAGCAGATCCCTTGTCTATTGCTTGAATGTTAATTTCAAAGGCTTTGTTTTCTTCATAGTCCAACTTCCCTTTCACTCTGATTTCGCCAGTTTTGGGATCCACCTCAAAGACTTCCCGAACTCTGGCAGAGCTATGGCTACTGAGCGAGTACATTATCTCTCCATTTTTGCCATCGTCCAAATCAGTCGCGTTTAATGTGATTATTTGGGTTCCCGGAGTTGCTGTTTCCAAGACATTGACTGTGTAAACTGACTGTGGGAAAACGGGGGCGTTGTCGTTCACATCTTTTACTATTATTGTAACTTGAACAGTACCTGACCTTAGGGGAACTCCTCCGTCTTTGGCTATTAGATTTAACCTGTGTACCGATACTGCTTCTCTATCCAATGGTCTCTGCAACACTAATACTGGTAGCTTTCTATCCCCGCGGTGCATTTGTATATCGAGAGTAAAGTACTCGTTAGGAAGCAGCTGGTACGTTTGTAGAGAGTTGTTTCCAATGTCTGGATCATGAGCGGATTCGAGGGGGAAACGTGCTCCAATTGCAGCAGCCTCTGAGATTTCAAGGCGGAACTGACTTTTTGGAAAACTGGGAGCATTGTCATTTACATCGAGAATTTCCACTGCGACCTGATACAAATTGAGGGGATTTTCAAGCACTGCATCCAAAGATATTACACAAGTGAGGCTTGATCCACAAAGATTTTCTCGATCAATTTTTTCCTTAACAAACAAAACTCCATTTTCTAAATTCACGTCCACATACAGCTTCCTAGACCCGGGTGAAATCCGCAAACTGCGAGACGAGAGCAGTTTTACATCAAATCCTAAATCGCCTGCGATATTTCCAACAAAGGCGCCTAATTGCAGCTCTTCAGGAATTGAATAACGAATCTGGCCCAAAACGAGACTCCACGAGAAAACACAGTATATTATCTCGCATTTTAGCAAGCAATATGATTTAAGTCTCATTTCCAGTCAATGCATTGCAAATTTTCAGTGCTGAGACGCCCGAATCTTTGTCCTATTAAACGTTATTTAGACAGTTTTGATCGATAGAATCGGTTATCTACGGTACACAAATTACCTGTTCGTCTTGCGAACTGCTTGAATTATGTCATTCCAATCTTCCAGTTTCGCCTAAAATTGCCAGTAAATTTATGCACAAATCATTCCGAGCTGTTTGCTGTCCAATTCTTCTCTGATCAGACGTAATGCTGTCTGGGTAGTGAAAAGGGGCAGTCCGGATCCCCAACGACATATCAGCTTCTGATTGGTGAACAGAGGCTCACTGAAAGTTAGCCAATCAGAAGACAACCCGTTTCTTAAAGCTGAATGCCATGTTTCCCGCGTCCAATACTTACATTTATTGTTGCACAGTTAAAATTGCGCCGAGTCATTTTTAGTATTCTGGCTACTTCCGGCTGTTGCAAAAAAAGTAAAATGAATTAATGATCATGTTGAGGTCTAAAAGGTGAATCAGCTGAGATGAAATAAAGACATAAGAAGAACTGAAGTCAGTGTTGCTAATTATTCTACTCATGCACGTTCCATGATGAGTACATCATGCTTTCCGAATTCAGTCACCATTGACTGCACCTTAAGGAAGAATAAATTATTAACTCGATCTTGCTAGAAGCATAAAAAAGTCAGAAATCTACCAATTTATAACTCAAACAAACTTAAAGTTGAGCCTACATAACCCTCTGCAGCTGGGAATTCCAAAGGTTCACAATAATCTGAGCAGTAAATACTCCGAATTTCGGATCAACTTGGCATCCCTTCATTTTTAAATTGTGTCCCCTGGGTTTAGACTCCCAAGTAACGGGAAAAATCTTACCTGCATCCAAAATCTCAATCTTTGATTATTTTGTATGTTTCAATTAGATCATGCCTCATTCCTAGAAACTCGTTTGCACAATCCCTCTTCGTCAGATAATCTCACCATCTCGAGAACAAGTCTGAATATTGTGATAATCATATTCATCCTGAGACTGGGAGACGAAAATTGTACACAGTACTGCAGGCGGAGTAAAATCAAGCCTGTATTCAGCTGAGGAAAGATTTCACCACTCCTGTAATCAATAAAGACTAACAATCCAACAGATTTCTCAAAGTCTTGCTGCACCTGCATGTTAAACTTCAGTTACTTGTCGACAAGGATAGTTAGGTCATTTTATCTATTTAGACTTGACAACTTCTTACCATTTAATAAATATTTTGGCGTCTGTATCTCCTATCAAAATTGATCACCTCACATTTTCGACAATATGTTGCATCTACCATGTTCTTGCCAATTTAGTAAGCCTATCCAAGTCTTCCTGAAGCTGCTTTACATATTACTCATAACACATATTCCCATTTAACTTTGTACTATCTGCAAAGTTGTACCGGTTACATTTGATCACCACTTTTATGTCATTGCTAAATATTGTGAACCACTGGAGCTGAAGTGCTGAACTTTGCAGTTTCTCATTCGTTGCAACAATGACCCATTTATTCCTACTCTCTATTTTCTGCCTGTGAGCCAATCGCTAATTCCTGTCAGTACATACCTCATGTCGAATGTGATTTAATCTTTTCAACCAGCCTCCTATGGGGGACTTCATCAAAAATCTTCTTAGAGCATACTATATCTGTCAGTATTTCTTCATGTTTTTTTTGAGTGACATCTTTAAGGAACGACAACAAGTTTGCAAACATGATTTCCCATTGGCAACTCGATGTTGAGTATGCCCAATCAGATCATTATCAGCCAGGTATCTTTTTATCTCATTCATTATAATAGATTCTATTTGTTTTTTTTTAACGTCTGGTGTTAGGCTAAGATGTCTGTAGATCTCTGCTTTCTCTACCATTCCCTACTTGACAGTGATCTTTCCTAGGTCCCAATCGCACGAATTATTGCATAAACAATAGAATTTGAAAGATAATCACGAATGTATTGGCTGTACCTATCGCCACCTGGTTCAAACTTGTTCGATTCAGACATTTGTTTCTGGGGATTTACCATCTTTTTGCTCGATTAATTTCACCAGTACAACTTTCTTACAAACACTAATTTCCTTCAAATCCTTATTCTCCATTTTGATCTCCAGTTCTGGGAAATTTGTCGTATATTCCTCATTTAAAACAGACACAAAGCATTCATTCAGAGTATACAGAGTATACAAAGTATTCATTTAGTTTCTCTGCCATATCTCCATTCATATTAAAATATTCTTCCTTTCATGACCCATAATAAAACAATAATGTTAGCCAAACATTTCCTTTTTCTGCACATTTAAGAAGCTTATATGGTCCATATTTACGATTTTTTTTTTTGCCAGATTTCATTCACAATTTATTGCCCTTTCCCTATAAGTTTCCTGGCCCTGCTTTGTTGTATTTTATAAACGTCCCAATCCTCAGAATCACTGCTTTTCTGACAACTTTGTAGGTTTTATTGGAAACCGAATTTCCTCGGATAGTCACAATTGACTGACTGTTTTTAGTTTCTGCAGTTTAAAAGGACGCATAATTGTTCTAATTCATGCAATGAATCTTGAAAGACTAGTACATTAATGTTTTTTAAAGTATTTTCACAATCCACTTCAGTTAAATCTGTGCCTGATGCCTTCGTAATTTCCCATCTTCAAATTTAACACTCATGCTTCTGAATGAATGACTTCTCTTTCAAACATAATGTGATATTCTCTCACATTGAGATCACTCAGCTTTTGTTAAGCAGTCTTTTTTCATTATTTTATACAAGATCTAAGATTGTTCGTTCTCAAGTTGGATCCTCAGCACACTGTTCTAGGAAGCCATTCCTAACATATTTCAAAAACGCATTCTACTTGCTTTAATAGTCAATTGATTTACCTAGTCTACATGCAGATTGAAGTCATCCCTGATAACTGTGTTGCCCATCCCACATGCTTCTGTCATCTCATGATTAGTACGCTGCTCCAAAACCTATAGTGTATGGAGCCCTATAAATAATTCCAACCAATTTCTGTTGCCCCTTTTAATTTCTAAACTCCACCTCAAGAGATTCTACATATTAGTTTCCGATCTGCATTCCTCCCTTACTAATGTGTTCCTCCCACACCTTATTATTAGCGCAACCCCAACTCCATTTCTTCTCGCCTGTACTTCATAAACGTTGAATAACCATGAATATTCATTTCCTGGTCCTGGTCACCACGTAGCATGTGATTTAATTTGATTTGACTTATAGTAATCACATGTACCTAGGTTCGGTAAAAACCTTTGTTTTGTGAACAGTATAGGGAGATCATAGCAAACAAGGACATAGAGATCAAAGGGTGTTCAGACAGAGCGAGGCATACAGGTTACACTGCACAGGAGGTGCGCAAAGCAAGTTCAACATTAACAGGATCGATATTACTTGAAGTTAGACAGTCTATTCATTAGTCTAATAATGTTATTATAATTTTAGTTAGAACATACCCATATAACTTAATTTCTGACTGTAGATCGTCCACCTTTTTGAAAATGCTGCATGCATTCAGTTAGAGTGCGGTTAACTGTCCTTTTGATATGAACTTACTTGTGAAGCCGACCTGATACTCGACTTTGTTTCTCCAGCTTTCTCATCTGCCGAGAATTTTTTTGACTTGTCATTAGCATTTTACGTCATTGCAATTTGATTCACCCCTCAAGTTCATATCCATTGGGTCAGCTAATTAAATATTCCCCAATTGAACTGGAAATCTGACTTCAAAGATGTCAGTCCTGTTAAGGTGTAAGCTGTAAATCTTGTACAGGTTAACACGGGTCGAGGACCAGTTCCCAATTATTCATAAATCTGTTCTCGTTCCTCCTTTCTTGCTCTCAAGCCACATATACAATCCTCCTGCTATTATGGTTGATAGTCCATGATACTGGGAGTGATCCTGACATTACTACCTTTGACGGCCTGCTTTTTAATTTCATTTCTAACTCGTTCAAGTTTAGCTTCAGGAAATCATTCCTTCTCCTGCCTTTGTCCAATGACAAATCAGCCGTGAGATTACCTCCTTTATGCGCGATCTACATAGTCCTTTGACTTACAGATGCAAAGCAATGACTGCAGATTTTGTCCAAATTTTGAAATCTGGAAAATATTTGCAGGTGGTCAGACTTTCTGCAGACGCTCTTGATTGTAATATGTAGTATGCTAATGATTTTACATTTACCACAGGATGTACAATCCACTTGACCCTTTTGACTTTCTACTCTGTACCTCTGAAAACTATTTGTTACCCCTAGAATAGAAATGGACTTATTATGAAACCTAACAAATATTTTTTTTCAGAAAAAGGGAAAAATGTCCATAGACAATGCAAACTGAATACCTAACTTTAAATTTGAAGATTGAAAATGTTGACAGAACCTACTCATCAATCAGCCGCCTTCCCTGCAACGTGATTCCATGTTATCATTGGACTTAGTCGATGTAAACCTCTCAATCCACACTTTATGTCCTCTCCCACTCATCTATCACTCTGGAGACTATTTTTCTTACAATAAACCTTAATGAAAACAGTACTTTCTGCATCTGGATGGATTTTCAAATTTTCCTCACATGTCCACAAAATTAACCATTTTATCCCAGTGCCACTTCAGCGACGTCTCCCTCACTCTGACCAGGCAGCTTATTATGACTGTGCACTTTGAGCAAGCCATTATTAAATAGAAAACTCTGATGACTTATTTGTTTTTAACTTACTGCTGGACTAATCAACACTACTTCAAGCATAGCATTTCGCACGTTTGACATTTAGCAACTACTATCAGGCAGCTACTCGTTTAACTAGATGTTCTAAATTATTTAAAAGTTTTGACCCTAGGTCTGACCAAATTTTGTAAAAAAAAGCATTTCCACTAAAATTTCTTCTGATACGTCTGTCTCAGCTTCACACTCTTGATGTTTCTCTCACGCTGACAAAATGGTTTCCTTTCTTGTGATATGAAAATTTTGGGCACTTCACCTTTGCTCTATTACTAATTCATCCCCATCAAATTGTACATATCAGAGTGTAGTAAGTATATGATGATAGTCATAACTGTTTTATTTAACTTTCAGCCGTGTGGAGTGAATAAAATCACGAGCTGCACACCGGCTTACTAGAACCTATTATTTACTGCAATGCCATCTTTTATTTCATCCATAAACACACTTTATGCCTCAGTA